GGCTGATCGTTGCAGCCTTTCGTTGGACCAGCTTCGTGAAGCCGGAGGCCGTGTTTAAATGTCTGAACACCCACCCACATATTTAAGAAAGGCAGACTTTAAAAAAATACAAAGTCCAGTTGTCCAGGACCCTTTGAAGTTGTAGTATTGAGGGGGGGAGAATTAAAGGAATATTCTAAACCCTGTAACAAAATCTTCCTCCAGATTCTGCCCAGCTCTTAGCAGCATGTTAATTATAGCCTGACGCTTCCACTTGCTGTTCCCAGAAGTGTCATTTTGCCCAGGGAATTCCTCACACACAGAGAGGGGGGGGAGACTCTACATTCTCTGACAAGTCCTCCCCCAGTCCCTCAAAGGTCATCTTGTCCACCTGGGCCCACAATTTGCCATTTTTCTTTTAAAAAAAATAAAGCCAGTTCCTGGGCTAAACTCCTGGGTAGCCAGCTGCTGTTCATATGGGCTGGCAGGTTCTAAAACCTCAAATTCAAGAAAGTAAAATTCCTAAGCTCTAGGTTGGTTGCCTTCCCCCCCCCCCAATGCCTGATGCGGTGCAAAGTGGGAGCAGACCTCCAGCAGAGCCGTGTCAAATCCATCGCAAAACCCATTCTGCCCCCTTCACTTGAGTACAGAGGAAAATGCTGCACTGCAATTGCACCTCCATAGCATCTTCCAGTCCTAGAAGCTACTTGGGAAGCTGGACACCCTCTCCATGCCCTGCCCCTCTCACCGGGGCTCGCCTGTCCAGAGGGAGGACTTGCCCACTGGTATCTTTTTCCCTCTGGACAAACCCACCCGACACGACGCAGAGAGGAGCCAACCAGCTGGGACTCCTTGTCGGTCCGGACATCCCTTACAGAGGCTCCAGCCGGTCATGTGGATCAAAAGGGTGTCCCAAGGGAGATGGGCTTAGGGTGAAATTATGCAAGATGCCAGCTTTGCCATTAGAAGGTGATGACATGTTATTCTTCTAGAAATACCACCCTTCCGAGCGGCTGTATCTGCACAACCAACATGCAAGTTGGTTGCTTCCTTCTTGATGACCTCTGAGAAACAACTACCAACTGGCTTGCAAAGCAGCAGAAACCTCATGCTAGATAATCCAATGCCCTTTACTAATTAAGGAAGCACTGCTTCTAATTGCAAAGCTGGGATCTGATGCATCCTCCATCAGGGACAGCCAGCCTCAGCGATATCCCCCAGCCTCTTTCGCTCCCCAGAATTCCAGGCACTGTTGAAGTATTCTGGGAATCTCAGCAAAGCTGCCTTCGACAACTTCCCTGCACCAAGAAGGAAGTTGCCCAGGGTGTGGGCGCTGCCACCGACACCCTCCGATTCCGCCACTCTGCAGGCGAGGGACAGGAAAGGTCACCAAAACAAACTCTGCTGAGCAGACCGGCCGAACAGTCATTCGGGCAGCTCCCAATTGTTCCCGGAGCGGCAAGAATGTGCGGCACAGAAAGTGGCTGCAAGAGAAACGCCACTATGGAGCTGCTCCCCCCCCCCACTCTGATGGTGTGCCTTTCCCGGCATGTCCAGCCGTGGCTTTGATCAGCTCCACTTTTGGACCGCCACTCCGAGAAACCGGTCGCCTGCCTGGCCTGTGGAGCTCTTTCCAGCTGAGTGACAGACCCGGGAGACTGTTCTTCGTTCCGCAACCCACAGCAAAGCACTCAAAGGGGTGCAGGCCAATGGAGAAGGCTCGCCTCCTCATGTTCACACGCACACACAGCCAAGATGGGAATGGGGAGGGGGTCCAGGCTGCCTGAAAACCATAGAGGCCATCTCAAGAGGCACCTCTGCCTGAGAACTTAAATTGGATTATTATCACCGCACAGGAGTGCACTGAGGATATTCTGCTGGCAGAGCAAAGCAACATTCCAACAGGCAATTCTAAAAATGGGGGCATGCCAAAAAAATAAATAATAATTTTTTAAAAATTCACAAAGTGACAACCAAGCAAGGGGAAATCTCAGAGGCGGACACTTTTTCCCCTCCATTAACCCCTTCTCATGCAAACACAATGCAATGGTCAAAGCTGTCTTTTGACAAGTAAGAAGGGTAGTGAGTATGAGGTTATCAGAGCCTATCTTGATGGCTGCCATGGGTGTCATCAACCTTCAAGCTGCCCTTTGCTTTTTATAAATGGCTTCCTTTCTCCTCCTGTCAACGCGGGCATGATATTGTGTGACAATATCTGGCTATTTCCTGGCATTCTGAATTGTGGCTAGAGAACAACAATATCCCACTGGAGGTTTTTTTTTTTTTTTTAAGAACTGAATTATACCCTTTGCATATTAGTAAAAGCCATGCTCCCTAGAAGGGCAGGACCAGTCCCTCATAGCACGCGGTCTTCCTTGCCTCCTTAGTAGATCCTGGAGCATCCTTTATTTTTTTGACTGGTCCTTAGAGAGACGGCTCTGAGGAAGTGGACTTGGCCACAGAACCTTGCCTTAAAATACAGCCGTTAGTCTTCAAAGTGGCACCACGTTTTGGTCTTCTTCCCGTTTTCAATTGTTTTTGGCCTGATTTGCTAAGACACACACCTCTGAAAAATCCTTTGGACAAAAGGGAAGCCTTGTTAATGGCACGTAATAGGCACCTCCCTTTACATCTCCCCGGGTCGCGAGGCCTGCCGAGGCAGGGAGCAAAAAAGACCTCTGAAAAACCTCGGAAAGAGGTTTCCCAAACTCATGCAGGCCTCTGAACATGCCCAGGAGCTCTTCTCCTGGGTGTGCCTCTGCCAGCACCCTTTTCTCTTTAGCTCCACACTGGCATCGGTTTCCATTGTCAGTTTCTAACACCAGAACTTAAGCCTGGCTGTGAAATCATGTACTTAAAAAGCAGAAGAGTTACTTTTTTGGACTTTCAACACCTGGAATCCCTCGAGACAGAGCGAGCCATGATGAAACTGACCCCAGAAGTGACTGGGGCTGGGGCATTTTGGGTCTTGTAGTCCAGAGAAGTGACTTTCCCCAAGTTCTGATGTTGCACGTGGCAGGTCTATCTGGGCACAGATCCTGGACTGCAGGCTTAGGGGGCACAACGTGTTCTGAGCAGTCTTGCAGCATGCTAGCCCCCGCACAGCTTCCTTCTGCTTGTCCTTAAAGCGTTTATTTCCAAGTCCCTTGATTGTTGTACATATAAAAGGCCCCTTTCAGACACCTCCTCATGCGCAAGCCGAGGCCCCAGCCCTTCCCCTGCTTATGTGGGTTCAGAATGTCCAGGCTTCTCCCTCCCTGCCCCCCTGAACAGCCCAAACATGCCGGCTGAGAGTAGGTGGGTGGGAGGGCTGCGCAGGGGCCAGGCGCCACAGGAATGGGTCGGGTTTCATGGGAGTGGACCTGATCCTGCCTGTCTATGGCCCTCCCAAGCCAGAGTGCCTCCGCCTTCCATGCCGGAGTGCGGCTTTCTTTCTCAAACGGCGCCTCTGTTTTATTTCACACCCGCACGGTGCCAGATCCTGCACAAAACAAAAACTGTCCCCTCTTTTTTAAGAATCCAAGTTACTTTTTCTTTCCCCTCCCTTCCTTCTCTCCCCCCCCACCCCTTCCCTTGAGGGAGGAGCCCTACCCTGGCTGCACAGAGATGCTTATGGTCTTTGTATTATGTGAAAAACAAAATAAAAAAGTAAAAGTTTTTTAAAAAAGACAAAAACAGGGTGGCACCTTAAAGACTAACATTTTGCGGACAAGTCCAAGAAAGCTCACATTAAAAAATATAAAAGTTAGTCTTTAAGGTGCCAGCTACATTTTTGTCTTTTTTAAAAAACGTTTTATTTCTCTTTTGTTTTCATATATAAGGCTTACGCAGAAGAACACACTGATCCCTTCTACAACAACGATTGTTGTCTTTGTGCAGGTTTTGTCATGGATCCACAAAGTGAAATGAACGAAGAAGAAAAATCCCAGCATTCTGCCAATGGGTTTTGCTGCCTGGGGCCGATGGGATTTGCAGTCCAACAATCAAGTCTGGTCACTAGCCAGAGACAGAGGGAAAGCCACTTTTCTCTCCAACACTCTGTTCTCATTGAAAAAAAACCTCTGTTTCTCCTGCCAATTGTCTCTGTGCAGGAGACAAAATGGACACAGACAAGACCTGAGAAACAAGACTATTCTAGAGCCAATGAGATCTTAGGATGGCCGTCTTTGAACAAAACAACATCAAAGACAGATTCAGAAGGAAACAGTGGAAGAAGGATACGTCAAGAGTTTCAGCTACGTATCTCTGGGCTTGAACAAAGACATGGGCTTCTTGTCTCACTACACACATATTAATCTCTTCACCCACACAGGTTTGTCTGAATCCCTGCCCTCCATTATGCAGCATCCACGGTTTTCCCAAAAAGATTGTTAAATGAACAGGTCACTTCTGGCCCAACCGAAGCAGATGGTATTCCTTTGAGAGAGGACTCTTTGGCTGCAAAACCATGGAGGTTAATTGGCTTATTAAAAGACCTTCCTGTTGCCAAAATGTTTTTGCTAAGCAGTCTTTGGAAAGTTCATGCCTAGTGTTAGTGACACAAGGATCAAGTTCCTTATCTCACTTCATTCTGTCCATCCTCAAAACCAGAATCCCTGTGCTTATAAACCTGTGGCTTGAACATCCTTCTCCTTTCATCTGAAGAAGGAGGTGATGTTGACAAAACCACACACCAAATAAAACGTGCCCATCTTAGAATGTGCCAATTCTTTTTGTTTCTTTTTGCATTTTTCTAGCCAACTCTCTTCCAATGTTCGCCAGAATTCAACAACACAGATGTCCACGCAGGGACAACAAGAAGCACACCGCTGGCAAGGTCACATGCCAAAGATACTCCTTTGAGGGGAGTGTGGCTGAAATCGAGTCACAATTAGAGTAGGCCCATTGAGTCAATGGAAGGTGCATTGCCCAAAGTCAAAACCACAGCCTCTTGAGTCATTTTGGAGAACCAGGAGTTTGACCAGCATATAAGTAAACCCCACCACGCACCCAAAGACACATTGTGGAGGGGGGGGTCCTACCTGTTTCTGCCCATGGTTTCATGGTCTTTGACCACGACGTGGAGTTCAGCATTCTGGTCCAATGGAACCCCTTTGAGATCCCACTCAAAGCCCTAAAGAGAAAAAGGGAAAGAGACAAACTGTTGTGCGATCATATGGAAGCTTTTTAAGGGCTGAATGTGATGAGTATCACGGCTGGAGTTTCTCTCACTGCTCAGAGTTTAGAAATCAGTGTGCTTTGTTTTGTACTCGGTCTTCAGGACTTGATTCCTTGGAAGTCTGATTTCTTAAACACAAAACACTGCCTGACCCCTTTCGGTTCTGGTGGTTAGCTTTAGGGTCTGTTTCCATTCTAGGAATGACTCTGACTGATCTTCATGTCCCTACTAGAGTCTTGCTTTTGAGTGGTGAGTCAGGCATGCATAACTTATTCTGGCTTTCTTTAAAACTTCCTTTCTAATTGGCTTTTAAGCTGATCAAGGCAACGGGATGGTAAGAAATAGTTGCTCAAGTTATCCGTTCTGGTTTGTTAAATGTTTGTGACATCCATACAAAGCCCATTGTTCAGATTTAACTATCTTAACTGTACGAAAAAGCAAAACTGACAGATTCACTCATTAGCCGTCCAGATCAAAATTCACTGATTGTTGGTAAGAATTTTTATTTATTTTACTTTATTGATTAGATTTATACCCCGCACCATCTGGCAGCCAGACCACACTGGGCAGCTAACAACAACAACACAATATAAAAACACAATAAGAATAAAATAAGACAAACATTCAACAGATACAGTAACTAGTAGGATAAATTAAAAGTCATGCCATGTTGGAAGACACATCTCAGACATGCTCAAAGGATCGCTGCGCTTTGGAAACAAGCCTTGGAAGAAGAGGAATGGACAGCCTCAGAGGGTGGAGGTTTTTAAACAGAGATTTAATAACAACCCCACCACCACCACCATGGAAGTGCAGAGCTAGAAGGGACCCTAAGGGCCATCCAATCCAGCCCCGGTCAAAAAGGCCCCGTGGGGGAATCGAACTCCTGCAGCCACTGACCTAAGTCCCTGAGCTAATATGGAAGGAGGCCCCGTGGGGGAATCGAACTCCTGCGGCCATTGACCTAAGTCCCTGAGCTAAAATGAGCCACTTGTCAGGGACGCTTCTTCAGGGGGAGGGCTTGGTGTCTTCTGCTGGGGCCCCTACCAGCTCTATGGCTTTATGTTTCTGAGAGGCACCTCATCTCCGTGGACCTTCTCACCAGAGCCAGAAGGCCCAACGGTCACCCTCTTTCTCTTTGGCTCAATGGAGAGATTAACATATTCTACAAAATGGCAGAGAATGTGCCCCACATGTCCCATATACAGGCCTCTCTCCCAGGTGGCACAGAGGCCTGGAGCGAGCGTAGCCTTGTTCTCTCCTGTTTAATGGGGAGACGCTTCGAGCTTTGAACAGGTTTATGAAAATGGGACCAACCAGCGAAGAATCTGCAGTGTGGACAGAGGACCCAGGCAGAGCGAAGTCCAGAGGTCACCATGTCCTGGCCCAGAATGGCCTGCGCTGCCCAGGTGGAGAAACCCTACCTGGCATAGTTCGTGTCTCTTTCTTTCTCTCCCCGTTTCTTCCACCCGTTCTGCCTTCTTATATCTCAACAAGCCACATCTTCCTGAGACCTTTTCCCGCATCCCTTGCCTCTTTACCCCCATAATCTCCCCCACCGCTTGGGGCCGACGGGTCTATTTATACCCAGAGGACATCCCCTAATCCTGTCTCCAGGTCTGACCCTGCTTCCACGCTGCCCAAGCCTCCCATGGCCCTTAAGCGATGAGATGTGGGACAAGGTGCAGTTCCTTTTCACCCATAGCTTCCAAATCCTGTCCATGAGGACGAGGGGCTCAGATATTGGGGCTGAGCTTCAGGCTGATGCAAAATGCTGCCATGTCCCCCCCCGCCCCGCCCCGCCTTCAGGGGCACACAGCGCGCAGGAAGGCCGGCTCACCTCGTTCCATACAGGGTTGATGTTGTTCTTGATCACCTTGGTTCTCTTTTTCACTCCTAAAACAAAGAGGACAGAAAGGTGAGGATCGGCCCCAAGGGTGACCACAGCCCCTCTGTTCGAAGGGACCTCTCTGCACCCTCTCTTCACCATTGATCTCTGCCTCCATCTGCCCAAGATGCTTGGCTTGTGTTGGGAAACTGCTATCCTGTTGGTTCCCCCAGGGACAAAATTCCTCAGAGGGTCAAGGCTGAGCGGTCAGACTGGAGAATGAAGCTCAGGTTTACCTCCTAATGGTAAAGGTTAAAGGTTCCCCTTGACATTGAGTCCAGTCGTGTCCGACTCTAGGGGGCGGTGCTCATCCCCATTTCCAAGCCATAGAGCAAGTGTTTTTACTGAAGACCGTTTGAGCCATAGAGCAAGTGTTTTTACTGAAGACAGTTTGACGTGGTCACATGGCCAGCACAACTAGACACGGAATGCCATTTACCTTCCCACCGAGGTGGTACCTATTTAACTACTTGCATTTACATGCTTTTGAACTGCTAGGTTGGCAGGAGCTGGGACAAGCGACGAGAGCTCCCTCCGCCGCGTGGATTTGATCTTAAGATGGCAATTCTTCCCACCTTGCAGCCCAGAGGCTTCTGTGGTTTAACGTGCAGCGCCACCACGTCCCACACCTCCTAACGACCCATCACCAAAAATAAAGAAAGCCCATGTGGACGATCCTGGAAGTACCCCTGACAAGCAGAGGTGCCACCCTGCACTTCCGAATACCCCTCCACTAACCATAGTCTCACTGTGTTGTCTAATTTGAATACTGGACATTATTTAAGGGATCGGCAAGGCATCATTTGCCAGGCAAACGCAGACTGTCAGACCAAGGTCCTGCATTCAGTGTCTCCAGATAAAAGGATGGCTGTCGGACAAGTTCCTCTACTCCTCTCCCGGATTCTTGCCAAGCGGCTGCCGGAGGGAAAAGCGGGACCCGGGAGGGACCATCAGAGAGCAACTGTTCCAATTAAAGGAACACCCTGGGTCCTTCTTTTTGCCCCCCCCCCCCCGCGGGCCCTCTGGAAAAGGGGGGGGGGGTGAAGAGG